ATTTACTATTTTCTATTTACTTACTGAGTGGTATATTGTGGGCAGTAGTTTAGACTCCTAGATGGAAAATTGACTCAAATAACTGGTCCTTTGTGTTCAGTTTTCTTCTTTGAGGGAAAATATACAAAGTTCCTTTTCACAGTGTCCTGTGGTAGAGGTGACAGTGTTGTCAGAGCCAGCAAATGGGAGCTGTGATTACCTCACAGGATTGTAAATGGGTTAGAGACTTAAAATGAGATCTTAATAGCATTTCCATATGCACATGTTCTCTGCATTGTGATGTATAGAAACAAGGTTAAATGCTTATAGGAAACCTTTATGTGTTTTTCTTTCTTTCTTTCTTTCTTTCTTTCTTTCTTTCTTTCTTTCTTTCTTTCTTTCTTTCTTTTTCTTCTTCTTCTTCTCTTACCCCTCACCCCAACCCTCTCTCTTATTTTTTTTTATCTTTTTCCCCCCCTCTCTCAGGCTAGTCTAATCCAAGGACAGTGAAGCCACACAAAGTCATTAGATTTCTTAATAAAAATGAAATATCAAAGGTGCTTAATATGTAAAGTTTTATGGTTTTATAATCACTTTAAAACATTTTTGGCCTATTAGTTTGTTTGATTTATACTTTATTTTTAATGACTTTTATCTTAGCCTCAAGATGATCTTTTAATGAATTGATCCTTGAGCTGAATTGGATTTTGAAAAGTTGTTTTCTCTGGTACATTAGATGCCCTTTGTTTAAGTTTCGCTGCCCCCAGCGACTGCGACTCTTTAAATTCAAGTTTAAGCTATCAAAACAATTTAAAATTAAACACAATTTAAAATTTAGTTTTCCCATCACACTAGCTATCCTTGAAATGACCATGAACAATGTTTGGGAAAATGTATTCCAGTTCTTGAGTTTCTCAGAAGAGAAGAGCTGTGTAGCCCCATTGTAGCCCCGGTGTAGCCCTGGTGTAGCCCTGGTATAGCCCGATGTCCAGAGCAGATGGAACATCTTAAATCACTGCCATGTTTGCACTTAACCCCAAATCTTACTGTTGAATTACCCACAACAGCTGTAATTCCCAAACATCTAATTCATGGCAGAAGAGCACTTTACACATATGTGATGAGATTTTGCTAGTAGTCTGGGATTGAGTCTCAGATATTTTTAAGAAGACAAATTGGACTGTTCAGGGCAGAGCATACCAATCATTCGCTCCAGAGTTCCTTTCTTATGAGATGCTGTGTTGTTCAAGTTGCCCTCAAACTCACAGCCTTTTGCCTTCTTCTCCCAAGTGCTTCGATTCTATGTGAACACAAGCATTCCTAGCTTCAACCAAACATAACTTTTTCAAAGCTTTATTATCATATCAAATTAACTGGCCAGAAAATGACATTTCCTGATGATAAATTTGCCTACTTGCAGAAGTATCTTTTTCAAACTTCAGTTTACATTAACTTCATTTATCCAGTGAATATTTATGAAGCTCCTGCTGTGCCCAGCCCTGTTCTAAACATAGGGAGACCTTTCTTCTCCAGTGAATGCTAAGTCGTTATGCTCTTTACTGAAGACTTTATTAAAGTGTCAGTAGCAGAAGCGGCCGCATGCACAATGTCTGGCTTTTGAGTTTTATGTTTAATAAAGATCCACTTAATAAATTCCAGCAAGAAATTAAATGCTAGGAACAGTTTCTGGGATGATTTATTATGATTTCTTCTGTGAAAGAATATTGCCTTGCTACAGAGGAACTGTTAAACCTCCAGCTATGGCTTGAATTATCGAAGTGCCAGTATCATGGCCTGCTTCATCTTGCTCCTCCTCAGCCCCACACTTCCTCCAGCTTCTACTTTTTCCACCTCTCTTTCTCTCTCCCTCCTCCCCCGTGTCTTCCTGTTTCTGTGTGTGTGTGTGTGTTTCTTCCTCCCTCTTCCTCTCTTACACACACACACCACACAGAAACCTCTTTAGAGGCATAGCTCATGGTTAGCAGTGTGTTTGCCTTTATACTCTATATAAAGGAATAAAGAACTAAAAGGTAAGAGCTATAAGTGGGCATTTTCAGCATCGACCCCTGAGAGTGAAGGAAAGCTGCAATTCTGCTTTCCTGATAGATTCGTGTCCTTATGCTAAATATAAACTTGGAAAACCTTCGAGGTTCAAGTTTTAGCACTGACCAATCACACAGTGCTTTTCAGAAATCTGATGGAAATTGATATGACCATCTAGTCTAACTGTGATTTTCCTGGAAATTAAGTCCTGGATTGTAGTAAATTAATTTAGACATCCAGGTGGGATATGTCAGACTAGAAGTAAGGTTTTCATATCTTCCGTCTAATTCCCTTTCTAGTCCAAATTTTAAGTCACAAAATCTTAAGAGAAGCTTATAAATTGTTGCTAAAATATCCATTTCTAAAATATCAAATTAGCAGGCATTTGGGATTGATCGGTTGTTTAAGACACAGGGTCTGGGTTGACCTTGCGCTCCTGATCTTCCTGCCTCCACCTCCTTTGTGCTGGCGATATAGGGCAATGCTGGCAATGTGCTGGCATCCACACCAGCAAATGTGCATTCTGTTGTACAGACTTAATTACTCAGTTGCCATCATGTGCCAGGCAGTGTACCAGGCTGGATGTTTAAAGACAAACTAGCTAATGTGGAGGTGCAAAGGAGGGCAGAGATGGCACGCAGCTGGTTGTAAGCACTTAGCCAGTTTCTGACAACTGGAGAAAGAACTGCCTCTGCCTCTTGAGTTTGCAGCGTGGAGAGAACTCATGTGTCTTCAGCAAATGAGAATGAGAATTTTGCTTCAAATCCACACAATGTTAGCTACTGTGTAGAGACTTCAGAAGACAGAGGCCTGAAGCTAGAACTGCAGCGGAGTCTCATGAAAACAATGACTCTGAGATTCCACCCTGAAAACCAGCTCGCTCAACTGTTGGGGTGCTGAGCGAGTGTCTGTGCCAGTCCTATATGTGACAGGAGGCACCTGGAGGGCGCATCATTGCACACACATAGCCACAGCCCACATCTGGAGAAGACTCGCTCAGTCACGCTCAGCCTCTCGAGATGGCTGTGCCCCTCTGCCTTCACCAGTCTGTTCCTGAACCTTTCCTTGCGGTCTTTGCATCTGGGGATGGTGGTGGTCTTTCCTCTTTTAAAGTGGTTCTTGTCACATTGGTCTAGTCACTAGACCACTAGACTGCAGTGCTTCCGGTGAGCCCCCGTCATTTCCTTCTGGAGTAATAAAATTACAGGCATAATAATCCTTATTGTGCATGGTTATTATTTACAAATTGTCCCTTTTAGGAGAAATCTAAACTCTGCAATCTACTAGCTCTCTTTTCTGTGATTGAATCGTGGGCCCTAATTAATAGCAGCTGCCATCCCCAGAGTAAGAGAGCCTCTGAATAAATATCAAAGGATGAAAGTAAGCTGTGTTACAGTGATCTCGATCCCAAAAGTCTTCACTTTATACCTCCAATTAAGGACACACCTGTAGGTAGGTAGGCCACCTGCTTCCTCAGGCCTCAGTCTTCTTGATGAACGGAGGGAGCATCTTACAAACCCAATGGTCTCTGAGGAGGGTTCACATTGGACTTTATTATGTGAAGTAAGACAGTAGGCTGAAAATGAGGAGACCGAATTGTGTGCCAGCATTAATTTAAAACACTGTAAATGTGTGGTTTACTTTCATTATTTCTCATAGACTACAAATGAGATACCTTCAACTCCCACTAAAAGCTAGAACCACCACATGGAGCACGGAGCACTGGCCATGTGTGACATCACCATCTCTGCTCTTTCCCTGACCTGTGATGTGCATGTTTTCTCATCTGAGCCCCCTAAATAGCAGGATCTCCATGTGTCTAAATTTGCCAGTTCCAGCCCTAGCACAGTATTCTGCACTTAAAGACTGAGGAATGAGAGTCATGAGTTCCTGGACAGCCTGGGCCACATATCAAGACTCTGTCTCCAAAGACCAAGAGCTGGCAAGTTATTTCAGTCCTTAGAGCACTTAAAGTTGTTAAGTGAATAGATGATTTTTCTCACATAGGTGAGTTCCTTTTATTCTATCTTGTCAGTTTGCAAAATAATACTGTAGTCCCAAACTGCTTTACCTATCTCACCAATGTTTTTAATCATCCTTCCTACTGCAGAGGTCACCAAACATCTGACAGCAGAAAGATGACTAGAGGAGCCCATGGCACAGCAAGTGATAAGGGAGGAACATGGTATTAACTGCAGGTGTGCTGTGAGGCTTACTATAAATAAAACCCAAACTTAATCAGTTAAATTTATACCATGACTTGTATTTGAATTATGATAAATACTTTTCTTGATGCATGTGATTTCTCTCTTAAATCTGGCTCTTTTTATATTGCATCTCTTTACCACTGATGTCTTACCATTATTTACACACAGCAGGATTTGTTCTGTGATCTGAAAAGCATTGGTGGTTTGAATAAGAATCACTCCCACAGGCTTATCTTTTTGAGTGTTTAGTCACCAAGAAACTGTTTCAAAGGGTTAAAAGGATTAGGAGGTGTGGCTTGTCTGAGGATGTGTGGCATTGTTGGACAGAGTGTATCACTGGCAGTGGGCATTGAGGCTTCAAATGCCTACACCAGGCCCAGGCACATTCCCCTCACCCCTACTCCCCTCCCCCATCTGTCTGCTTTAGAGTCGGAATGTAGCTCTCAGCTGCATCTCCAGCATCATGTTGGCCTACCTGGCCCCATACTCCCCACCGTGATGATAAAGGACTAGCGCTCTGAAACTGTAAGCAAGCTGCAGTTAAGTGCTTTCTTTTATAAGAGTTGCCCTGGACATGATACCTCTTCATCAATAGAACAATGCCTAAGACAGAGACTAAAGTTCTTTTTAAGAGTATATTTCCTTCCCATCTCTAGATGCTTTTAAAATGTCTGTGAAAAATTGGTAGTCACCTGTTTTATCCAGAAGTACCATGTGACCATGTATGTGTATTCCTCTTTTTCTGATAAGTATGTGCGTTGCTTTCTTTAGGGGGATTTTCTATGGGAGGCTGCATGGCGATGCATTTAGCATATAGAAATCACCAAGATGTGGCAGGAGTATTTGCTCTTTCCAGTTTTCTGAATAAAGGATCTGTCATTTACCAGGTAAGTTCCAGATTTAAAAAACAAACAAATATAACACAAAACATAGACACATTGAAACTAAAATAACATTGATAATTAAGCAATAAAATGTGGTACCTAGTTGATACAGATTAAATGTCCCTGCAATTCATGGGCAGATGAGTCATGTTGATACCAGCAGCCCTCTATGTTCAGCAAGTACCCCATGAAGAGGACAGTTACAGAGGAAGGCTGTGTTTAGTGTTATATGAATCCCTTATACAGAACTAGAATGTAGAAGACTGTCGTCAGACTTGATTATGATAAGTCTATTCAAAAATCGATCATAAAGCTGATACTTTACAGCGGTATTCAAGCTTACGACGATGCTACATGATGCTGTTACAGCTTTATGACAAAAAGTTGAACAGAGCCTAAGAAAGCGGCTTTACCCTTCTGTTGTGCCTCAGCTCTGCACCTCTCCCCGTCCTCTCTCCACGAAGAGGTCTGTGTTTGCATTTCACTCAGTTCCTTGAGGAAATGCTTTACTGGCCTTTGCGTCCTCAGTGGTCTGAACACAGAATGCACAGCCACACAGCCAGCACGGAGGCCTGCCCTGGCATACAGTGCCCTGGCATACAGTGCCCTAGGAGGGCTCTTTCTCTGATGCGTTGCCTAATGGACTGTCTCACACCTTCCTCTAGGATCTTCAGCAAGGTGACCGCACACTCCCTGAGCTGTTTCAGTGTCATGGCACTGCAGATGAACTAGTTCTTCATTCTTGGGGCGAGGAGACAAACTCAAAACTGAAATCTCTAGGAGTGAACACCACATTTCACAGTCTTCCGAACGTTAACCATGAGCTGAACAAAAGGGAGCTGGAAAGACTCACTTCATGGGTTCTCAGGAAGCTGCCGGAAGAGACCGACAGGCAGAGTGGACTGAATGAATCCAGACCTGCACATTGACCATTTTTCTTACATTTGAATTTTTTTTCCTATTTCATCCCCACAAAAACTAAGCTTGGTGAAACAGCCAGCACCCCCGTATTACGCAAATGGAATTATGAAAATCATCATGTTATGAATGTTAACTATGTTGTGGCTACATGGATGCCATTGAATGGACATACTGCAGTTTGCTTACCTGTTCCCCACAGATGTGGGTCACTTCCTGTGTGGGGCTGTCCTAAGTCGGGCTGTGATGAGGTGTGAACATCTGGCCAGCCAGTGGCGAGGCTGAGTGATGGATTGTAGCATTTCCTGACACTGCCCCGCTCTTCTCAGTGTTGTTTTACCGTGTTCCTTCCTGGGCAGCAGTGTGGTGTCCCCTGACCCCCTGATGCTCAGTGCCTCATCATCCTTCCATTTTCCCCATCCTAGTGACTGCGCAGTGTTAATGCACTGTTTGATTTCCTTTTTATTGCTGCCAGAGATGTGATACAGAATCCTACCCTGGACGGTTTCCCCACATTTATGAAAAGTCAGTTTTCCCTCCCCAGTCTGCTTCCAGACTATCTTTGTGAAAAGTGATCTGTTGCAAAATTATGACAAATAAAATATGAATAAATAATTTACTGGCTTACCAACTTATTAAAATGTCTAGTTCCATAAAGAGTAATATAATCTTACTAGAAGTAGAGTTAATTTAGATCAATAGCTGCACATTGTGTTTTGATAAATTGTTATAAACACTTAAAGATCTTTTAAGTATTTAAAATAGCATATAAAATAATAGGTCTTTTCATGGTTTTTACACATGTGTATTATACTTAGCTTACGTTAGTTCCTCATAAACCTCCCTGTACCTCTTCCCACTGGTCCACTTATTCACCTCCAATAGTCCCTTCTGCTTTCAGTTTGTTTACGTATGTGTATGTATGTGTACATGTGCAGGTATGAGCACATGTCTGAGTGTGTCTGTTCTACATATGAGAAAACACATGATAATGTCACACTTGTCCTTTTCCCACCCTCATTCTCCTCTCTGGTTCTCCCTGTCCCTTCCCTCTGGATCTTTCCTTTCCCCACATAGTCCCCTTCCACTCTTATATTTGTCTATCTAGAAACCCACATTCTTCATACAAGAGAACCCGGGATGGTTATTCTTGCATGTAGTGCTTATTATACTTAATGTGATCTCCACTTTTTTAAATCACTTTACTGAAAAGAAATAATATTCCTTTGTCCACCTATATAATACACCATATTCTTTTATGCATGAAGACATGGAACCGGGCTTTGCACTGGTCCCATTCCTTGACGATTGTACACAGTGCTGCCGAAAGCATGGATATGCAGCTATCTCTGGTAATGATTTAGATTCCCTCGCGCATATACGGAGGAATGACATGGCTGGAGCATATGGTTGTTCTGTGATTAGTTTCTTGAGGAGTCTCCATATTGATTTCTATAGTGACTGCACTAGTTTACATTCCATCCAGGAGTGTTTACATCCTTGCCAGCATTTGTTATCATTTCTTTTCTTGCTGGTAGCCATCCTTACTTGGGTGAGATGGAATCTCAATGTTCTTGTGATTACAGTATAGCTTTTTTATTCAGAAGGGTTGGTGATGGGGAAGTCAAGGCCTTTTATGGATTTTCATCAATTCCCTTTGATAAACAGGCCCTTTGAATGCCTTTCTCCTCATTAGTAACAGAATATTAGCTGGATCTTGCCAGCGGAGCCATAGGATATAGTCCCAGTTCTTCTGGGGTCTTGTGCTCTGGTTCAGCATAACCTCAACAGTAAATAAATATCTTCATTTTAAAGTTGGGGTAACTTGTACCTGAGGGAGTCAGGGCCCAGACTCTCTGGGAAACCTCCGAGTGGAAGCCGCCTCCCTTTACTAGATGACAACCTTCTCAGTCCCAGAGTTTTGTGACCCAAGGGATCACTGAAACTGTGAAAACACAGAGGTCTCAATGCCTCACTATACCTAGTTCTTCTCAATCAGGAGTGTCATTTGGGCTGCTTAACACACATTCTCGAGAGAGGTGTGTAAAACAGTAGTGTTTCTAGCTTTAGCAGTAGGAGCTGAAACAGCAGCAGTAAGTCAACAGAGAAATACCTACCCTCTTCTCTTCCCCACTGTGAAACCTGCCTCAACCCTCACAGTTAAACAGGAGCATGCCTTTTCACCCTGTGGAACCATGGGACAAACACCTGCAACCAGCAAGCCATGAAGAAATGTTCTTCCTTCCTTCCCCGCTTCCCCTCAGATGTTAACACATGCAGGTTGTTTCTGCCCCCTTGTGGTCCCCAGGCATCTTTCTCCTTCAGAGCTCAATTCAGAGAAAGAAGAGAGATGGATCAGGAGCACAGAGTGCCCAAGAAGCACCATGCGGGAAGCAAATCCCATTTCCAACCTGAGCTTGGTGAAGCTGCTTCAAAAAACTATTCAAGATGGGAGAGGAGTCCCCTACACTTTCAGAGGCTCAACCTCAGCCCCCTTCTAAACCTGGCAGAGGGTGACATTGGTGTGGGCGTTTTGAATAAAAATGGTCCCATAGGCCCATAGGGAGTGGCTCTATTAGGAGGTATTGCCTTGTTGGAGTAGGTGTGGCCTTCTTGGAGGAAGTGTGTCTCAGTAACTTCCTGTCAGTCTGGATGTTGAATTTCAAGCTCCTTCTCCAACATCATGTCTGCCTGCATGCTGCCATGCCTCCCACCATGAAAAAAATAATAGACTAAACCTCTGAATTATAAGCTAGCCCCAATTCAATTGATTTTCGTTATAAGATTTTTTTGTGATCATGGTGTCTCTTCACAGCAACAAAACCCTAAAACAATTAGTTACAGCATTTGTGCTTTCTCATGGCTGGCCATCTCAGAACTTTCTCTGAAAAAAACCAATGCTCCTCAGAATCAGTCAAGGCTCAACAGAAATATGACAAAGTAAAGCCCTTGTACCATATTTACATGATCTCTGGTTGGCATGCAAGGTGACAGGAGGCACACAGCTTGTGGCCTTCTTCCTTTAGGGGCATTGTGCGTTTTGCTCTCATCATCTGCTGTCATCATGACGTGCCTGGTCTAGAAAATAAGGAGTGTGGATTTGCCTCTCTCCCTGTGAGGTGTTGGGCATATGCCTTTAACCCATTTCTACTATATAACAAAGTGTTCTAGGCTGAGAAATTTACAGAGAACTGAATTTACTTTTCATAGTTACAGAGACTGGGGAGTCTAAGATCAAGACACAGGCAGATTAAATGTCTGCAAAGATATGAATCTTGGCCCACAAAGATGCCTCGCTGTGTGACAAAAGGGGCAAAGACTATAAGCATGGAGGGCTTGTTTTATTGCTGGACCTGACAAGAAGCAACTTAAAGGATGAAGGGTTTATTTTGGCTCACAGTTGGAGGATAATAGGGGATTCCATGGCGGGAGGAAGGGCTGTTGGCTGTCTGCACAGGAGCATGGCGCTGCTTGCTCACATCTGGGCAGGTTAGGAAGAAAGATCACATAAGAAACTCAGCTGGGCTAGGCTGGGCCATAAGCCTCAGTACCCTCCCTACAGTGACTTATTTTCTCCAGCTGGGCTCTGCCTTCTAAAGGAGGCTCCCAAAACAGCACCACCAGCTGGGGACCAAGTGCTCAAACACCTGATCCTGTGAAAGATATTTTACAGCCAAACCGTAACTGGATTGCATCATGCCCCTTTTATAATATCACTAATCTATCACCATGGGATTTAACTTCTAAAGTAAGAATTTTAGAGAGATTTACATACAATAGCTGCTACCTATTGAGGATAAATAGGTATACCAGTGATTAAAGGATGGGCCCATGGTGAGGCAGGCTGGGGTCTCTCTTCTTGGGGTGTTAGTAGCAGAGCACTTGTTGGAAGGCTGTTTGGACCTTGTCTCAGTCTATAGTCATTTCCCTGGTTTCTCCTCATTAAGAAGAAATAATATACACAGACACACATATGCATGCACACACACACAACTCCAATAAGACTGTAAACCTTAGTTAACAAGCTCACTACAGTTCTCTATGCGGTTCCCCCTTGCAGGGCCTCCAGGCTTTCCTTTCACAATCTTTGTTTTTAATAATTAAATGCTCTGTTTTATAGGTTGCCTTCGTCAGGCTGTATTGTCACAGCAGTAGAAAAGTGATTAAGGCAGTATACAACATATTATTCAGCTCTAAAGAAACAACAAACTAGGAAAATCATAGGTAAATGGATGGAGGTGAAAATAATCATCCTGAGTAAAGCCAACCAGACCTGAAGGACAAAAATCACATGTTCTCTCTCATATGAATGTTAGCTTTGACTTTTTGGGTGAACATGCTTAAACTGTAGTACACAGAGAAGTTAGGTAAGTAGCGTGGGCGTAATAGGAGAGTTCAAGGCTAAGGAATAAAATACAGGTGTTGCAGAATAAAATACAGGTGTTGCGAAGGAGGAAAGAGGAAAAATTAAACAGGAAAGGTGAAATCAATTGGGAGAGCAGGAAGGACAGTTTGGAGTAGGGAGTGTGAGTGGAATAACTATTTTTAAAAGCCTTTGAAAAAAGTCATACGGAAACATACTTCTGGAAAAACTTCCTAGAATCATATACATGTCCATACATATGCATATTACACATATGTAAACATGTGTACCTGGAGTTTAGATGGGCTACCCCTTTTCAAGTTGTTAGTCAGTGAGGTCCCCCCAACAAACATCATATATTATGGCTATCTTGATTATGTTTCAGACCGTATTTGCTGAAGAGAACACGTAAGTGAGCCACAGGACATAGAAAACTGAAACTTGTATTTGTATAAGGCCTCATCCCTCCTCGGCAGCTTTCTGAGAACTGGAAGGCTCTATGGATGGCCCAGGAGAAGCATCATGTGATACCTGCAAACCACAGTGACAACTGACCTGGCAAGATATGCTCACGGGTGCACTAGCGGCAGGAACGTCGTGATAGAAACCAATTGATTTCTCATTGGTTTTAAGGCCTGTTCCAAAATTGGAACTCATGCTGGATACCGTTAACTGGGTCCCAAACTCATGGCTTATTCTGTCACAGGCTCTAGGGAAAGAACCCAATACCATTCAGTAATCTACTAAATGGACACAGTATTAAACTGCTCCCTAAATTCTTTTCTTTATTTCCCTGGATTGGAGCATCTCTCAGCCCTTATCAGAGAAACCTCTTCGGTTTGTTTTGTTTTCTTTTGTTTTGTTTTTGCAGTAAATGGTTGTGGAGATTTGCATAAGACATCCCTCCCCGCACCTTGGTCTCAGGCATTTGAACATTTGGTTCCCAGTTGTTGGCCTGTGTATGGAGGTTAAGTTCTGGAGGAAGTACATCACTGGGAGCAGGCGTTGAGATTAAAGGCCTCAGGCCACTTTAGTTGACCTTCCCCATTTTGAAGATGTAGGCTTTCAACTTTCAATTCTTGCTGCTGTGTCTGCCGCTTGTTGCTGTACTTTCCCAACTTAATGGACGTTTACTCCTCGAAATTGTAAGCATAAATTCACTTTATCTTCTATAAGTCACTTTTTGTCATAGTGTTTTATTACAGCAACAAAAAACAATTAATACGATGGTGATAAATGCAGAGAACCTCAA